ATTAATGCTTATTAGGGATGCAAAGGTACCCAGCCAGATATTCGGCCCCCGCCGAGTATTGGGGCTACGCGATAATACTTGGTTTCGGCCGAGCATTGAATCTAGGCATCTGAGCCCCAATCTTTGCGCCAACTAATGCGGTACTGAAAGTTACAGTCAATAATTGGTTTAGTTAAATAAAATTAAAAAACGTGTTCCGAGCAACAAAGACTGACTGTCCGCTGAAAGTAGGGGATTCAGAGAACAATAGGGGTTAATAACAGACATGGCTTGAAAAGTGGATTTCTAGGGAAGGTGGGGTTTTGAGAACAATAGGGGTTAGGCATTGAAAGTAAAATTTGAATGTTCTGTTGGTGATTATTCGATTAAATGTAATAAATGTCAATTTTTTTTGTTTCTCATTCTTGTGTATGTTTTTTTTTGGGGGGGGGCGAGGGGAAAACTCGGTACCAGTTGACACTCGATCCCGGCCGAAGCTTAGTGGCCGGATCCCTGGCACCGGTATTCGGTCAAGTTTTACTACCCGTGCATCCTTAATGCTTATGATATATTGTTTATTAATATTAGTGTGAAGTTCTGGCCAGACCCTTGTTTATTAACTGTGTTTTGGTAAGTGTTGGATTTATTTCTAAGTGTTGTTACTGTTGAATAAACATATCAGGCATCTTTCCCATTGTAAGTGTAAGCTTCATTAGTGTTTCAAAAGTAGCAAGAGCTATTGACACAGGGGAAGTAGCATGACTCAAATCAACCATCCCATGTACTGAAAACAGTTTTGACTCTTTTCGTCATCCAGCTCGTCTTGCCAGTATATATAAGCCAGTTCTAGAGGCTGAAGCCCTGAAAACCTTTCAACAAGTAAGTCCAGACATTCTTCTGTTCATGGGAACAGAAAGTCATAACAGTGTTCTCCCAGTACAAATCAACACAGTACCTGTTGCTACCATTCTTATTCACTAGCAGAGACAACTAAACAGATATGGAAAGCTGTAAGATCTCAACTAATAACATTCATGTTATCTCAGCACTGGCTATATCCCTAGTGCTCCAGGGAAGCCACTACAGCAATTGTTTAATTGATATCACATTGGTTGTTTTTGTGTAATGGCTTGTAATTAGTTTTCTTAAATGAGCTGGCAGATCAAACAAATATATTTGCATGTTTAGCCAGTAGGTCACTGAGACACTAGCGCTGATTTGACTCTAGAATGCTGCTGCAATAATCTACTAGGGATATCAGATACACTGGGTGCTGAGTAATGTGGTTTCAGACAGATACAACGGAAACAATCCTAGCATTATAGCTAGTATCATTCTAGCAGGAAGCCGGATAAGTACTCATTCATAATTTCAGAGCAACATAGTAGCTTCATCCTTGATGAACAAATAATTAGCTGTGCTACTACTGTCTGCTTTCTGGAGAGAAGACAGTGTCTCTTGTTTTGGTTTGACAGCCCTGTTACATGGAACTGATGCATCCAAGTTAGTTACTAGTAAACCATAGAACACCACTTGCGTGCACAGAGGTACTATTGCTCTCTATGTTGGGTACATACAAATAGCACACTGTCCCTGTGTCGATTTCCCAAAGAAAATAGATTCACCTGTTTCATAGGCAAAGTTAGCAGAGCTTCTGCAGTATGCCTATCCAAGTATGTCATATCCAAACCCAACGTTTCTAACTACGATCTTTGTGCTATGGTTCAAATGGCCTAAATGTAGATGTGCTTTTCCATTCATATCTAGTCTGCTGATATTTCCCAGAATGAAGAGAGTATCCACTGGCAAGAGTAGTTGTGTTCATAGTGCCTGATATATAGTGACATTCACCAGAGTACTTTCAGCTCTTGTGCCAACAAGGAATTCTATTAGCCTACCATGCATCCAGCCAGGCACATACCAAGCCCTGACAGAGCTAAGCTGACTCTCTCAACCTTTGGCATAAACTTCTTCTGTGCCCTTCCAAGTCAGTGGCCAGGCCCAATTTGGGCTCCATTAGCTTCTGGAGCTTGAGAAAAAAGAACAGTACTGGTTCTCTTTCACTTGCTATGCAGTTATTCAGAATGGAAGAATCCACCTCTCTTGCTGCCAGATAAAATGTGAGTAATTCAATTGGAAATGCTCCTGCAACCCACAATCATAGCAAATAGAGGACTCTTCTGAAGTGACAGCTGGGGAGGCACTGACTAGATTTACTGTAGCACAAACATCATAGGAGGGCCTATGTAGTTCTGTCTGTTCTGTTTCTATATAAAAACTTGTGGTGTTGTTTGTGATTCTGTCATAGGCAGATCTCGAGCTCAGTTGGAATTAACCGATTTGAGCTGGGTAGGTCATATTTAGAGGCACTATGATGGCTGCTACTGTCAGTTTCCTTATTTCTGGTGATTTGCCTAAAGCCACTACCTCGAACTGCTCCAGTCAAGGTTTGAAGACCTCATACCTCCAAGTGGTGCCTCATGGTCTCATTCAGTTGCCATTTAAAGAACTTGTCAGCATTAATGTTCTCATTGTCTGCTGTATCCATTGCAGTGTGGATTTCTGTGCAAATTATGATCGGTGAAGACACTCAGAGGAACCCCTTTAATGAGCCTTGGATTCAGCTTAGTTGATGGCTCAATTCCTTATTTAGCAAGTTGAAATGTCAATGCAACCTGGCCACAACTGTCAGTCAGCTGCACCTCCATAAGATACCTGATAGTATCAAGTGCTGGACCATCTAGGCACAAGATAAGGCACTGTATCATATGCTCTTGAGACCAGTGGATCCAGGCAATTACTTGTTGTAATATTGTGAAAGAGACACTTGGTTTTTTTTTGCCAGCCACACCTTTTGCAAATGATATGCTGTAAACAGATGGACTGTTCACTGAATGTGGGTTTTGGGTGCAAACTTGGCCCTGTTTTGAATTGTAGTTTGCCCCAGGACATTTAGATTTTTTTGCAGATTTTCAGGCTGTAGGATTTTACTAGACTTCTCATTTTATTTTAGATTTAAATTTAAGCTCCATATACTTTAGGTTTAACTTAAAGTTCTCTTTGTACTGTAGCAGGCTGAATATTGTTAGTCTTAACTTTAACAGGTCTCTTACTAGTTCTACACATCTTCTAGCCACATTTGACCTATTGTTTTATATTGTATTGTGGGTCAAAAACTGACACTTCTGTGAATGTGGAGTTCCCAGAATATAATGACTCTATTACACTCCTATCATACTGGACTTTTTAGTTTGAGATGGACCATGGTCCCACCTGTGAAAGATCTGCATTAATAAGATATGTGCCTTTGCTGGAGAAAAACTAGATCACTTCCCTAATGTTTAAAGAGGGGAAAGGAAGACCTGGACCACTTCCTAAGAAGGTTTCAGTAAGGTTTGCTATGAATTTTGCACAAAGTTACACAAGGGATATCTGCACTAGCCATCCCTAATTTAGCAGTGTAAGACTAGAGAGATGGCAGCTAGTCATCACCACCCACCACCAACTCTTGGCTACTCTTTTACCAACAAATAGTGGGATTGACCATCACATTATAACCCCCACAGCTGAAAGGGCGAGCATGTTTAGTAGAACAGGGATTCAAACCCGTGACCCACAGATTGGAAGTTTAGCACCCTACCCACCTGGGCATATTTCAGCAAGGAACATGGATAACAGTCAATAGTGAATACACTTCTGTGCACACTAACAAAAGGGGAAGTTGACTGACTTGCTTGAGCACATTATTGTGTACAAACTGAGAATGACGGAAAATACAATAATTGAAAAAGTTCTACATATTAACTAAGGGGGGGCTGATGCATAGTACATTCGCATCCTATACTATTACAGAACCTTCTTTTTAGGAAAAAGAATGTAAGGAACTAAATAAAGCATATAATGTTAAAAAATACAATAAACCTTATGACGAACACTATTGATTAAGAATCTTTTCTATCCAGTTGTTTTAAGATATTGGTTTTATCCACTAAGACTTAACTAATTACTGTCCAACTCACTTGTGTAACTTCATAAAATGAGTGGTCACACATTGTTGTAGAAATCTGACAGAAAAGGAAAGTCACGTGAAAAACAAACCTCTGATAAACCTCTTTGGAAAGGATGAAATTTATGAGTAAATATAGACCTATACTTTAGGATGGGCAGAACATTTTTTTTTAAATTAATAAATGGATTTTTATAGGTGGAACCTCTCAGAACTGCACAGAAATCAAAAGTTTAAATATATAAAGTTTCTTACAAATTACATTAAACAAATGTTGCAAAAATATAAAATAGAAATTATAAAATATTACTCGGTGAAATAAGTGTTGAAATAGAATTAGAAATATTATTTTTACTTAAATTTAGAAATATGTTCTACAAGTTTTCATTCCACAGCAGAAAGCTGCTCATCAGCCATAAAAATAGCTATCCAGAATGAAGTCAGTAGTATTTATTCAGCTTGGTGACTTTAACTAAAACATCTGGTATAAAATAAGGTTGATCAAAGTTCTGGCAGTAATAGTCTTCACCTAAAATCTCCATCTCATACCTGTGTATCTTCAAAGTCATATAACAAGTTCAATGTAATTAAGCTGGCCACCTTTTGAAACAAACAAAATGCTGTGCCTGTCTGATATGGCAATCAGAACCAACTAGGATTCTACTATTAAAAATGCAGTTAACCCTACCAACACAGGTTTATGGTCATGGGTCAAAAACCATGTCATCGCATTTGTAGACTCACATTCAAAATTTTATTGAACTACTATTTTATGAATGTATGTTAATAAGTTTGGTATCAGATTGTAGATTATAATTTAAATTTTAGTATTATACATTAGTTTATTTCTTAATTTAAAGGTAAATATTAAAAAGTCCTAAATATTGAATTTTTTATGTCATGTGGTATGTTGAATGCAGTTTTGGTTCAAATTAGATGTTTGTGATGTTCAAATACAAACTCTATAGTATCTTACGAATTAGGAACTCAAATTAACAATAAAAGTTTGCTTTATTTCAATTTTTACATATCTTGTATAATCATATACATGTATATGATATGACAAAAAAAAAAAGCCTATGATCCTATAATATTTTCCAGTTCATTCTTTGTGAGCATAACAGATTTTCTGAATCTTCTTAGCACATACGAATATAAATACACGTAAATCATCCAGTAGACATGTTATATAAGAACTTCTGATTACAGTAGCTTAGTATCATGATTTCAAAACTCTACTTGAGTAACAATCCATTAAAGCCATTTAGAATCTCTGATCTTGTATATCTAGTCCTACATATTACTAAATTTACATATTGTAACTACAAAGTATATCACACTAGAATTATGAAAACATAAAATCTTTAATGTTCCACAATAATGAAAAAATTTAAATCTATATAGTGCTATTATACATGCAACAATATGGTTTAGGTTTTGCACTAAACAGCAATAATTAAAACTTGCCACAGGTAAAAGAAACCAATTTACATAGAACACTGAAACAATTTAATGCAAAATATTCACTGCATAGGAAAAATACATTTTACTAACTTCATTCACTGATAATTAGTTTTTACACATAGGCAAATCTGACTTCAATTTGAGTATATAAGTACATGTACGTGCTATAATTCCATCCAGATGATGGAAAATTGTGATATCATAATTTTGCAACATAAGCAACTATACAATAAAACTCAAAATTTTATTAGTAAACTATACAAAACTCATTACTGAAGTTACAGACCACAAGTAAAAGTAGGTATAATAAACTTTACCTAGACTTTTTATGTATAATACATATGTACATTTTATTCATATTAAACTCCTACATTACTCTCATCTTACACTTTGGTAAAAGACAATATGTTCATAAAACTTCTTGTATGGAAATCACTTCCATATATTATTTTTACAAAATCAGAACACCGTAAACAGTGTTCACAAAACTGTACTTTGATAGGGAGCAACAACATTAAGCATAACAAGAAAAGGAGGAGAGTTTACAGAACTGCATATATCAAAATCACCAGAAAAATTACAGGTTTCTAACAGAAACTGGCATTCTTTTTAATAACTGAGGCTACACTGATAACTAAATATAAAAAAATAATGAAGTCATATGTTTAATATGTAAAAACTTTAAAAAATAAGCTAATTTCAAGACTGAAATCACAAAGCAAAGATAGGCAATCATACTGACTGCATATAAATATATGGCTTTTAATGTATTTAATACACCTATTCAAACAACCTAGAAGGCACAAGTACATTTGCAACATAAAACTCAGACCAACTAATTTAGAGAGTTACATTAACGTTGGAAACCATTGTTATAAGATAAATAAATAAAGTTTCCACAAGAATTGGAATCCATACAACGTTGGAAGATAAATGCAATATTATAACATAAAAATACAACATTGAAATAGATTCAAATTTATTTTATCCAGGGATGTTATATGCAACTTCTCTTCTTCAGGCTTAATGTGCACAAAAGTTTAATTAGTTCTGTTTCATGCATGACTCTACAAGGATTTTATTGCATAAAATAAATATAGTTGCACATTGAAGAAATTCAATGTTTCTTTAATGAGTAAAAGTCTGGCAATACTTAATCATAAGATCTTAGTATGTTAGTCTTTACAATTATTTGTTTACAGGTTAATCCAATAAATCTACAAGAGCTATGAAACATTGCAAATTGATTTAATTCTATTTGATTCTTTTGTTATGTGTGTTACCAGGGCTCAGCACCCTTTTTCCAGTGGATGAAGTGGATGGTATAGTATATTCAACAACAACAGGTGCAGCACACAGAGCTTTACTAAAGGAACTCTCCTCTAAAGAAGATGACTCCACCATCTCTGATAAAGTTAAGCATGCACTTCCACCAGTTGTTACCAATTCTTTAGAAAGAGGCATAATTAGGTGTCCAGTGGTGGCTGGAATACAGAAGGATGGCAATGCCTCCTTTAGTGGTTCAGAGTCTCTTGTGGTGAATGTTGAATGGGTATTCCCAGGGCTTGAAGAGGTGACAGGAACTACATGAACAACTAAATTATCACTAGAGTTTCTAGCATGTTGTCTTGCTTTTGTGGTAAATGATGGAAAAGCTGAGACTGATACAGTATGTGCTAAAATGGGTGAAACGTTTGAAATACTTAAGTTATTGGGACTTCTCTGTGCTAACGCAAGGTTATCAGAGATTCTTTCACACTCATATAGCTTTGTAATTGGTAATGAAGAGGGAGAAAGAGTCATATTTTTTGACACATCAGATGAAACATACGGTGCACCTGAACTGATGGGGTTGGTTTGCACCAAATAATAGTTACTAGGAGATTCTCCCACATTACAAGTTTTTGACATAGATGATACAGAAGAAAAACCACTACTTGTGTGTGAATTCTGAGATGGTATAGAGGCTAAATCAGTGCTGGCCGGCACTGTCTGCATAAACGTAAAACTTGAAGATGTTCCCTTTAAACCATAAGGTGGTCCTGGAACTTGGTTGTTTGGTGCAGAACATATTATTGGTGGAGACAATGACAATGCTGTTTTTTGTGGACTGGCAAAGTTACATCCACTAAGGATCTGAGAACCTTTCGGTACAGATGTCACCACTGGAATACTGACCACATTGATGGGTTGGCCTAGTCTTCCAGTATGTGATGGCAAGTTATCAGTGCCTGATGAAGAGGCTGAGTTGACCTTTGGCACACTGTTTACCTGAGAAACAGTCACAATAAATGGGGCTTTATTTAGTTCATTGCTAGATTTTCCAGATGTGAAACTAAGAAAATCACTGTCTTTGGGAGTCAAAGAGTTCTCAGAGAAGGATGGTAAAGACTGGTGAGTAGAAGTAAAAGTTGATGAAGTAACCATGTGTGGTTGCAAAGTGGGCTCAACTGTCATTGATACAGGCACAGGAGGCAGAATATGATTGCAAATGGACATTGGAACAGTCTGAGACAAGAAGCCAGAACATGTATCCAGGGCCAAAGCAGGACACTGCACATCTTGTTTCTGATGGAAGAATAATAATCTACACATTAATAGAATTTAAAAAGTTATTCCACAGCTTTGTAATCACAAATATACCTGCCACAGCACAAAGAGTATTTTAGAAATGATTTACTAATTTAGTGAGTAGCTTAAAAACATTATATTTACAAAACTAAGTTGAGAAGTGTAATCATGTGTTACAAGTCAATGAAGCGAACTTTACAACAGCTGAAAATAGCTTATTAAAATGAGAAAAAGTCTAATCTTTCTGTGTTTCTTTAAATAACACACAAAAAATGCTGCACTTCAATTTTACTTGTTTTGATTTAATATCTATGTTACAAAATAAGCATACTGTATGAATTACTTAAATATTTCACAAACCTGGATTTGGAACTGTATTATTTGTTGTTTGGAAAATTCAGATGGTTGACTCTGAAAGGATAGTGGAAGTTCTTCTTGTTTTGCATTTACAGATTTGTTCAGTTGCTTTAACAACTTTTGTTCTCTCTGATGGGCCTTCTCCAGCTCCTTTTTATGGGTTAGAAGCTGAGAGAGATGTGGAGGATAGAAACATTTTATAGTTTGTATGGAATTTTGTTAATTATCTTTAATTATTTTCTAGCATCAATATGTTTAGTATGATAAAAAAAATTCTCCCTCTAAAACTTCTCTAAAAGTTGTTTGAATGAATTTAATTCTTATAATAAACAACAAATGGAATTTCAACAAATGGATCCCACATCTGTTTAGAACAGAAAAGTTTGAATGCACAAGTGATACACAGAAGTCACAAACAATGAGTATTTGCAATTAAATAGTCAGTTTATCTGTAGTACAGTAATTACAGAAAATACTAACGAATGCAACAGTATTTTGTATTTACTTTAAACAGAGCAGTATATTTTGCTTTCATGCTACCATAAAGTTATCAATGTATAATTGTGGAATATGATCCCAAGTGTCCTGTATTTCTCCCATAATTGCTCCCAAAATCAGTTGTCTGATTGCTGTTTGACCTTTACAGTTTCCAAATACGCCAACACAGCCTTGGATCACTTCTTCTACTTGTCATGTCCACTGTTGGGATGGGTGGTGATTGCAAAACCAGAAATCATAGTGGATTATGATTCCCAGGGCTGCAATGTGGAAGCTCTTGCAATTGCCTCACCGAGATCATTGTCTCACTGAAAAACGAATTCCTGCCCAGCAGATCTTCTTCCTGACATAATGATATGATGTATAAGAATCTACTTGTACTTATCAATAGTCAGAATGCCATTAAGTTTGTGTACATCTCTAATATTACTGGCTCAGATGCAGCTTACACCATGTTTTGGTCTCTTAGCATGCTTTGCTGCAGATGTTGCATGGAGACTGTTATATTGTTTTTCTCTTTGTTATCAGACAAGTTATTTTTTTATTTTTACCAAACAATCTAAATTTGGATTCTTATGTAAGCACCCTCCTCCAGCTTTGCCAATCTCACTGTTTGAAGTCTGGTGCCCATTTCTGCCTTTTTGTATGGTTCTCTCTTCTATGTAGTAGTTTTTGAGAATCTACACATCCAATAAGTCTACTTAGTGCAAATATCTCACTGTTCCAGAGATAATATCCAGATTTATATTTCCAGCTAAGTCAATGACAAGATCTCTATCCCACTGTTTGGTGTTAGGTAAAGAGTATACCTTGAAATGCTTAAGATAATTTTTGTAAAGTTTGGACTTTCTACTTCAACTGCTTCTATTATCACAAGTACTAGTTGCACAAACTGTCTTCAGTTTACATACAGCTGTTACTGAAATATGAAACTTTACCTCAATCTGCCATAAAAAGTCATAAAGTGTGTTTTCAAAGTAAAGTGTTAGCTTTGTGTAATTTTGACTTTTATATACAACTTAGGCCCATTCTTCCTAATCTGTGGTTACTTTCAGAAGCTTGACTGAATATGGCAACAATGAAATACTATGAAACAAGATTTTGTACAAACTTACACTGCAAAAACTTTATAAACTTTGTCAGGCAAAGACCTATAAAGCAAAAGATACCATTACATTCAAATTGCAGCATGTAAAGCTAATAAAAAATTCAAGTTCTACAGAAGGTTGAGTGCATTATATTTTGAACATGCAAATCAGCAAATCATGTAACAACCAAAGATGATATAAAGTCACGGTGTAATGGCATATACAAAAACTGCATTTTAATATTTCAAAGGTAGTGTAATTCCACCAAAAATTGATCACAGCCTTTTCCAAAAATAAAATATTTATAAAATTCAGAACATAAAGAAATTTAAAATTTCCAGGACAAAGATAATCCTTGTACTTAAATAGTATTGGAAAACAAAGGAATATGGATTAACTTGGGGCACCAGGACCATACTGAAACACACCTACAACAAGTTGTACAACTGCCATGGTAAGTGTGGCATTTTGTAACAGGTGAGAATCTACAAATAAAAAAGTCAGTAGTAAATACCATATACATGCCCCAGTACGCAACATAATCAAGAAATATCTGCATCTGAAAAACGACACGAGTTACATGTGCATGAATTGCTTCCATAACACATCTGTCCAATTGTTTCATATTTCAAGCTGCTGGAAAATTAAATGGGTATTCATGCTAACCTATTTGATGACATACTGGTCAAGTTGTATGATGCCACACCTATGGATTTCTGTGTGACTAGGCTATTAAAACCAGTGCAAGGGAGGTATGCTTTGGATAGCCTTGTGACAGAGCTTATTTCAATGCAATCTACACTCCAGAGCTAGTTCAAGATGCATGGTTGTCAGATGGAGTATGACCAAATGTGCCGATATGGATTGTAATAAGGTGGCGAGGTTCCAAAATTGTTTTAAAATAACATACTCAACCTCTGTATAATGTCTATAATGGAAGGTGTCTTAAGTTTTGAGGTTAATAATCAAACAAAAATGGCAGTTCCAACATAATCCTTTGGTGTCACCCATAAATTTATGTTACCTACTACAATAAAAAAAAGGCAAAAATGCAGTTCATATATAACATTAGAACAATATACATGTAAAGATTTCAAACTTTATGTTTGACTTACTATCTTACATGTATCTTGGAACTAAAATATGACCTTTGTACATAAGTATGATCTAAGGGTTAAAACTTTACATTTTATCACACAATGAACATTTCAATATTTTGGAGAGTTAAGAGAAAATAACAATTAAAACAAGTACCATTATAAAGGATAGCAGCAAATAATTTTTGGGAATCTACATTACAAATAATTCAAACTTTACAATTACAAGCACAGGGAAAGTAGAATTATAAATAACATCCTCAAGAACATTACTTACATACATACAAACAAATCAATTCAAACCCTTTGTAGGTTCTGTCAAAAAAAAAGAAAAAAAAAGAACTATAAAGCAAGAGAACATTAGAATGTTAAATATCAGATTCTAGCATGTGTCACTCATAGAAACATTCCTGCCTTATAATATCTACACTGCCTACATTCATTTTAAAATAGAAGGAATTTTTATAGTTTTCTCAAGTAGCATCCATACCTAGACCAGTTAATAGTTGGCATGAAGAAATAGTAATTCACTTACCTGTGCCTTTAATTCTATGATTTCTTTTTCAAGTGCTTTCTCACGTATTTCTTTATCTTTTAACTTTTTGATATGGGTTTTAAGATCCAGTTTAAGATCTTCACCTATACTGTCCTGGAAAGTGTGTTATAGTTATTACATTATAGAATAACGAGTGACAAAATATTAAATTTAGACATTTCCATTAATTTTATATAATGCCACAACTTACATTATTTCATAAAATACACAACAGTGACACTAATGTGACATATTAATTGTGTCAATACACATGTACTAATTTATTCCTCTGCTTGCTGGTTAGAATACATTTGGTTCAATTTGCAGCAATTATAAAAAATACATTACCAAAGGCAAGCTACTGTACTTGATTCAAAGAAAACTTTTATTCAGTCCCCATATAACTATACAATAAATTTACATTATTAGCACATTTTGATAGTTTGAATTTCTATTACACAGTAAAATAAATAAATACTTTAACCCAGGAACAAAAATATTTTAATATTTACAGATCTTTGAAATGAGCCCTAATATGAACTTGGAGTTCACTTAAAATTCTTGCTTAATTTTTTTTTCAATGCATTAAGACAATAAAAAAGCTCTAAGCACTGTACTTTGCTCAAATAACCTATGAATGATTGTTCAGAAACACCCAATGATGTACTTATATTATTTTTCAAACAGAGTTAAGAAACGAGAAGTTGTTCCTCAGTTGCATGAAGCAAGTATGTTTAAAAAGTATTAACTTGTGATAATTTACTAACTACATGTATACTTTCTGCAGTCTCTCAAGAATGATAAATATACATATTTTGGTATTTTCAGAATACACTTTCAGTTGTATTGGTATATACATACATGGAAAACCACATATCTCAAATGTTTCATTTTTAGAATAAGTATTTGGAGAGGGCAACCAGTCAGTTATGTTTACACCTACATGGTGACGTTTTAACTGAAAAGCATGGTTGACTATCAGTTTTACAATGTACTCATAGCTGAAAATGTGGAGTGAGTGTATAAAGAAACCCATCACCAGCCGGAACTTTGAACTTCGCAGCCCATAGTGCAGCTCATTAACTATCAGCCTTTATTTTTTGAATAAGAATAAATACTTAACATAGAACAGACTTATGATTTTTGAGACATATTAAAGTCATTACTCCTCTAACTCAAGCACCCATTTTTGGCCCTGCAGTTGATGTATAGATAGGCATGAAAACAGGAAAAGTTAATGTGTCACAGAACAGCATTTATTTACATAACTTTAAACCATACTGTAACAAGTGGAAAGTAAAACCCAAACAGTTCCCAAGCTAGCTGAAAATATTTTAACTGTCCTTAGATTATAACAATTCAGGCCTAAATAATAAATGATAACATATCCAAGTACAACAAATATGTAAAAATTACATAATTATTTATTTTGTTATTAGTAGGAAGTGGGACCAGTCAAGTGCTGTATTTTTATTAGAGTTAATAACTTTTTAGTCATTTAAGATGCAAGTATTTTCTCATGATATTAATAACATTTACTTAATTCTAAGTCTAATTAAGGTATATTTTCTTGTATTTGTATTCTTATAAACATTGAAATTCAGAATTTTCTTTTATTTCAAATTCTTAACCTAACAATAACTTAATGAAGAATATTTCTCACTGCTCTTGGCTGAGATTCACCTGCCTCAATAACTTGGAATTTAGTGAATTTCTATCCAGTTCCAGTACATTCTTAAGCCTCAACCTTACTTATATTTACAATAAGCTATACCATATTTATACATGTTTTCAAACTAACTGCCAAAGAAATAAAGTATTTTATGAATTTACTGGCCAGCCATCTATTCTGGTGTTTCTAAACACTACTGGATATAACAAGTACAGAAATTGAAAAAAGTATAATAAAATATTCTGTTTACAATTCAGATATTATTGCAAATCAATGAACAACTAATACTCTTTTTAATTCTATTTTTTACACAAGTTATGTTTTCTACATATCTTACACTAGTAAAAAGTCAAACTTGTGCTTTTACATCATTAAAACATTAAAGCTAAAGAAGAGACAAGCATAGCAATGAAAATACTTACCCCTCTGTATAATCTAGTAAAAGTTAAGATAGTTACAGGGGTAGTTGAAAATCCTCAGATGAAGGTACTGCCAGATTATACAAATAATGTGAGATAAATATATTGGGGGAGGTCCACATACCAGCCTGCACAATGTCCTCCAGCAGGCAATTAAACCGGGATGCTAAGGGCATAGAAACTTGACAAATCTGATTAGACGTGACTTGCAGAAATCTTCTTGCCTTCAAAGAGAGCCCAGAATGAGTGATATGGAATAATTTCATACCCATCTCATCAATGTAACTGAGGATAAATCCTAGGAAACTGAATGATTCCAATGAATAAAAAATTCACTAGCATCTCTAAAGGCATTAGTTCAGGCAACAAAATCTTCAAGAACCTCAATGGATCAGTCATAGAAGTGAGAAATAGTGATCAGATGAATTGGTGAAAAGGATTTATCCCCTTCGCTGGCTGCCAGTGTCTTAGAAGAACTGGTCTAAGTACGTAGGTAGAATGATAAAGTGTTCTGTACACAATCAGTAAAAACCACTCTGACCGACGACATCTGTAGGTTAGTAGCAACAAAAAATAAACCTTCAGAGAAAGGTTATACATGGCACATGAGGCTAGGGTCTCAAACAGGTATTGATAAGGGGGCTATGTAATGCCACCTTAACTCTCTCAACACAGTCAATTGAACCGATCATGTGACCTCTTTGTACTCGATTAAAGTCTTTATAGATTTAATACTTCTAACTTTCAATATAGTATGTATATCTTCACAAAATTTAGCAGTCTTTCAGTTCATATTACAAGTCTTTCACATACAAAAAATCATATTTCTTAGTGAAGTATTTGATAGTCCATGTGCAAGTAATTTTCATGTTAAAACTAAAAATACTTTTATTCATCTCAAAAAGCTCAAATTTCCTTTGTGTAATCCTTAAATCCTCCTAAATGCATTTCAAACGTTTTTTTTAGTCAAACTTTATAGTTTATCTGTTATTTTCTCTACCCCATCTCAAAATGGGTTTGGTCAATTTAACCGACCTCGTAACCACCCTAAAAAAAAAAAAATCTAAATAAATCTAAATTAACTTTTTTTTTCTTTCTCAAATGACTTCATATTGTAATATGAAACTACATTTATCCCAAGTAGCTCTAAAGTCCTAACAGTATAAATCTATTTATAATTAAATTTTGCTTTATTGCCCTTTGAACCATGTCTAACTACTATCTGCACCATTATAAGTTGAACATGCAGCCCATGTTACGCTACTGAATTACATTACCCACGAGATGTTTGCATGCGTGCCTCATGAACCATTTTAATTATATTATTATTATTATGTATTTTACTTAATCTAGTCTTAAATAACATAAAAAAGATCTATATTTTTAGATTTTAGTTACTTTTATAATGATAACTATGAAAAACAAGAAATAAAGTACTTCAAAGAGAGTTAACCATAATTTTTATACTATAGATAGTAATGCACTTAACAATTTTATTTAATTAAATGGTGCACCAAAGAATATAGACTAATAACATGCAAAAAGTAGCCAAATACACTTACTTCTAAAAATTTTCCTGGCTTTCTAACTATGCGACAAGAACCGTTACAAATTCATCCAAGCTAGTTATTAACTTTCCCACGGGAATGATGTTGCTACTACGAGTAAAATTGATGATTATCTGTTCAGAACACAACGTAATATAATACATCATTTGATAGATGAAAACCTTGGATTTCTATTGGCTATAGATAATATATTATTAAATGTAAGAGACCTATTAACAAATCATGAAAGAGAGGATGTGGCATGTGGGTGTGGAAGGAGGGGTCTGATTTTCTATTCAATAGCTCCGTAACCAAACAAAATTGAATGTTATAAAAATTATGGTTTGTTTCAACAATAACGTATTTTACGTTTAATTTCTTACATTTTCAAGGGGTGATGGATAAAATAGGGATGATTACATGCTAAGACAAAACGTGTCACTTGGGTCACACTGGTAAAAATTCAGGATTTTTTTGAATAATGCCTTGTAAAATGAAGAACTTAAAACTTATATACTATTCTAATTGATGTAACATAAAAAAAAGTAGTTTAATAAAATGTTGAATGTAAGACACTAAAACCTTGTGTCATGCGCAGTAAAGGGTACCTGAGGCTATAGGGTTAATATACCAATTAGGTAACTAGAATAGTCATTTGAGATAAAGGACCCAAAATGACTTGAGGGAGCCAGAGAGTACTGGGGACTCAAACAATTTTTGTCTCTATTATCAAATGGTAGTCAATAAGGCTGCCTTACACAAGGTGATTGTGGAAGATGCAAAGACCTTGCCAAAGAGCCAGGTCAAAGAACAAGTAATGGTTGGCACTTCTGATCAAAGTGGGTTCAATCTCCTCTTAATACACCATTGCCAATATGCGTGCCATTTATGTTGATGAATGTCCATCATGGGACTAAGCAAAGACTGACACTGGCAACCATAAAAATTAAAGCTCAATGACTGAAGATTGAGCTTCTGGATAGCCAGGTGTACAATGTCAGATTATGGGTGCCTCCACATTGATGGCCAAAAAGTGGAAGAGGTGGGCAACTCCTGAATGTACTGCAGAAGTAGAAACCAGGGTGTGGCTGCCAATCCAGTGCTATCAACAGGACCCAACAATGGGTTAGAATGAATCATAGTTAGTACCTTGGGTAACATACGAATGGGAGAAAAGGCCTGGAGTTGTAATCATGTCCTGTTCTGACAGAATGTATCCAAATACAGACCAAATTGCCAGTAGTTGGGTGTTGCAATGAGGGCCAACCCTCCCATCATCAGTATTTCAAAATGAAAGCCAATCCAATAGAAGACCTCACGATGCAGGATCTATTCTTTGGGAGAATCTATCTGGATCGAGACAATTAATCTGCCACTGAAGTCGTCACTTGTGGAACATGGCAACTAGTAGGGTGATATGATAGGAATGATCCCAAGAAAGAAGATCAAAGGTTAAAAATCAAAGAGCCCTGGACC